CAAGACTGAGTCACTGGTAAATGAGGATACTAGAACCAAGATGGGGTATGGAAGGACAAACAGGTTTCGGATGAAAGTCTATATATTCAGATTATGTATGTTATGCTTTGTACCTACAGGGCATTAAAATGAAGACCATTCAAATTATATTGCAAACCAGCAGGAAAATCTGGAATGAAGGCAGATTTTGAGTACCCTCAAGAGATAAGAAATACAAAAACGATTTGTCTAAGGAAAGAATACTATGCAGAAATTAAATGGCATTTAAAAAAAGAAGAAGAAGAAGGAGAAGGAAGAAGAAGAAAGACAATGAGCAGTAGGGAAGCACCCTGGATTCTCTTATACAATATGGCCTGGAAAGAGACTGAAGTAAAATCTACAAAAGTAACAGAGGAAAAGCAAGACCGTGGCTTCAAAGAGCCAAGAAGGATTCTGTAATGTACAATGCTAAAGAGAACGAACATACAGAATAACTTACCATGACTGTTTATGGACTTCTTAAGAACAGTGTTAGTCGTAGCTAGAGAGATGGCAAAGTGAATGAGAGCACTCACCAGCACCTAGGGGACCCAAGTTCGGTTCTCAGCACCCATACAGGGTGACTTACAAACTGTCTATAACTCCAGCTTCAAGAGATCTGACGCTAGCTTCTGGCCTCCATGGGTACTCACACACACACACACACACACACACAGCATTCACTCACAAAGACACACACAAATTAATTAATTAATAATGAATAATAAAAACTTAAAAAAGAATGCTTTTAATAAAGACTAGTCTCAGATCAGCACTACCAACTGCTTCACAGGCATGCCAGGAAAAATGTGTATCCCATCTAAGTAGATGATGTTTAGAACAAGAAATATCACAATATATACTTAAATACTATGTAAAATTTAAAGAAAGAATACTGACTACTGGTAGAGCAATTGTATTTATCTGAATAGGGTTCAAAAATGTCAGTCCTCTATTTTAGGGAGGAGATATACCAAACCAGCGGGTCTCAACAGAAAGGGCTCACTACTAGGCAAAAACAAAAGAAAAACCATAGCTTCATTTTCTCGTTTCCAAGCTACTAGAACTGAGAAAGAAAATTTCAAAACAAATCCTTCATAATCCTAGATCACTGAATGACTGCTGTGAGGAGAGCCCTCTGGCCAACTCCCAGTGCCTTGTAAGATGTGAGCAATCAAATGTGGTTGTAATCACTAATGAGAACTAACTGGACTGTAACAACAACTTTAACAAAATTAAAAAGAGCAAAGTAGAAAATGTCACCTTAGGAGGCAATCGATGAGACAGTGATCACACACTAATGTATCTACTTTTTATTTATGATGCAAAGTAACTCACACGCTACACTAGATTTGGAATTCTCACAGAAGGTAAAAAGTACAAAACAGAATTTCAAGTGAAGCAATGTTGACTGGGAAAGAATGTGATGATCAATGAGAAGAAAACGCCTCTCCATCACCATTCTAACATATCGATGGTTGTACCTCCAAGTTTCTGCACAATGTAATAAGCACACTTTGCATATCAATGGTCATCTCATTGTGTTAGTCCAAACACACACAAAGCAGGTCACTAAAAATAAGCTGAAGCTGAAAATAAAATAAATATCTTACATTACTATTGTGGCTTCAACAACATACTTGAAACAGGGTAACTTATAAAAACTAAAAAAAAGTATCTCCTCACAGTTCAGGAGTGTGAGGAGTCCAAAAACAAGATGCCAGTGGGTGAAGTTGTCCAGGGAGGGCTACTCTCTGCTTCCCTGGTGGCATCTTGTTACTATAGTAACCAGAGAGTGGGAAGGCAATGTCTCACAAGGAGAAGGGCAAAAGGGCAAAACTACACCAAAGGTTTCTTTTAGTTTTCAATTTTTAATTTGTTTTTAATTTTTTGAGACTTTTTTTTTTTTTTTTTTTTTTTTTTTGGTTTTTCGAGACAGGGTTTCTCTGTGTAGCTCTGCACCTTTCCTGGAACTCACTTTGTAGACCAGGCTGGCCTCAAACTCACAGAGATCCACCTGCCTCTGCCTCCCGAGTGCTGGGATTAAAGGCGTGCGCCACCACCGCCTGGTGAGACTTTCTTTTTTATATGCAATGTATGGTTATGACATTTCCTCTCCTTGGCCTTATCTTGTCCTCCTTCCCATTCCTGGTGACCCCCATTCCTGGTGACCTCTTTGCCTTCCTCTTCCCAACTAGCCCCATCCTACTTTTATGTCTTTGGAGGTGGGTATGTAGACACCTATCTTGTGCAAGTGATCACAGCTGCTGTGCGTTCATGATAGCCACAGAAAAGTCATTTCCAAAGATGGAATTTCACCGTATGGCTCCCCATCTTCAGGCTATGACAGTCTTATTCTCCATGTTCTGGAATGTTCCCTTGGGCCTTAGAAGGGTGACATGGATGTCCCTGTAAGTCCCTTCTTTAATTAGACCACTGCCTACTGCCAAAAGATACATCCTTGACTAGAGCTTCAAGCTGTCTATGGGTATAAGGGGTTTAACTCAATCACAAGGGAGGAGCCCTCATGGCCTAGGCATGTCTTAAAGGCCCCAGCTCTTTATACAGCACACTGGTTAACACATGAATTTTGCAAAGGACACATTTCAAATCATGGCAATGACCATGACGACACTATGAAGAAGTTTTTATTCTTGAACAGCTAACAATAAAAGTCACCACTGACAAATGCCAAATTACTATCTGACATGCCTAAATGGAACATGTGTGCTGGAAAATGGCAATTACCCAGAACCAAGGACAGAGTAGTGTCCTGGTCACAGTGAAGCATAGAAGGACCCACTGGGCCAGACTTTTCACCAAGAACACTGGATTCCCTCGATTCTTTATTCTGGCCTTTGTTCCTCTCATTAATTTTGACAAACCATGAAAGATGACTGTAATTGCTTCAATCCCTGTGGAGTTGAATGTGAAGTATACAAAAGAAAAAAGTGAATAAATGATGTTTGTCTGCTTGTGGCCATTTAAAACTGGAAATAGGACACAGGCAAAATAGTTCCACAACTCTTGTTTGAGAATTACTTACAGGTCATTTTACAAACCACACAAGTAGAGTCACTGTAAAAAAAATCGGGACCTCCAAGAAGGCTGGCCATCACCCTTAATCACCCTCCTTTGTTTTAATTTGTGAGTTCACTACAATAAAGTGATTTTTATATTACAAAACAGTATCTATGGTGAGAATAGATGAAGGAATGAAGCAGACAGGAGCAGAGGTGAGAGAAAGTCTTTACCATGATCCTTTCTACATTGCTTTTATTTTGATCCATGTAAACAGGTTTCTACAAAAATATAGAAATAAAAGATAAATTATTTGCTTTTGTTCAAATAAATCGCTTCTTTCAAAATCAGATCAAGTCTTTTAACTTTAAGCATGTGAACTATCTTAGCACAGGTTTGCACATTCCGGATGAAATGTTATCAGACTCCTCCCAGTACTTCATCCAAGGGCATAATTATATGCTTAAAGTGATCCTCAGCCCAGCCTGGTGACTTTGAGGAGGGCTCTCATTAGAATATGTAAACTCTGAAATGAGCTGATGTCTACAAACTCTCTGGAGTAGCAGTTTTGTTCTTCAGTTTCTTATTAGAAAGTTTATTAAGTGACTGTGTTGACTAACATGACAAAACCAAGACGTGAACTTAAGGTCTCTTTGTGTTTTCAAATCAACCCATGTTCATAATCACCCATGTAGTTGGATGTTTTCTATGATTAAAAGCACTGCTTATAATCTGTGGCTACGGCAGTTTTGATTTTCCGCAGTATCTGGGCTTAAGAGAAGAAACTAGTATAACAAATGTGACTACAACAAAGTATTTCAAATGGGACCACTACGACTCTAGTTAGTACAGAAGTTATTTTCACTTTAAAACTGAACCTGAGCTGATCGTAATCATTACATTCCAAGAGAGGGAAGAATGATCGAGAGCAGCTAAAATTAAAGGCTTTGGAAATGAATTCTACAAGTTGGCTATCCATGCCGTCCTCCCTTCTCCTGGATGGTAAAGCAAGGTCAAACACTCGCCACCGTTGCCTTATTGCCTTACATACCCTCTTCGATGTTGGTTTAAGAAAGGGGAGGAACTTTGATCAACGATTAAGGTGAAAAGAAGATGCATGGACTAACAGGAGCAAACACTGGGGAACAGTGTCTGCCTGAAAGGCTGCACCCGCTCGGCTCGGAAGTCAAAGTACAAAGTTGGGAATGCACAATCACACGCTGTGCGTCACGTCCACTGCAACCTACAGGACCAGGGAGGGCCTGAACCTGTCCCAGAAGGGGCTGGGTGGCTCCGGCGCCGCCCGCTCGAGCACGTAGCGGATGGCGCGCGGCCGTGGACCGCGCGCGAACCGGGCGGACGTGCAGGAAGCCGCGGACACTCCAAGCCGAACAAACCCGGAGCGGAGCCGGAGCCGGAGTCGGAGCCACGCCCACCCCATGATTGACACGCCAGAGGGGCGGGTCCGTGCGGAAGGGAGTCCCGCGGCGGCGGCGGCGGCGGCGGCGGCGGCGGCGCGCGCCGGAAGGCGGGCCGCGGGCCGAGGGGCAGTGGCGGGGCATCCCCGAGTACCTGCGCTGGAAGTCCGTGGCGAAGGGCTTCAGGTACGGGTCGATCTCCAGGAGTCGGGCCAGCTCGGGCACGTCGGCCAAGGCGGCCTCCAGATGCGCTTCCGAGCCCTTGTCCCCTGCCGCAGGAGCCGCCGGCGCCGCCATCTTCGCCGCAGCCCGAGTAGCCGAGGCCCGAGAGGGTCGAGTGGCCCGAGCGGAGGAGTGCGAGCGGCGCGGCGCGGCAGGGCGCGGCGGGGCGCGGCGGGGCGGAGCCGGGCGAGCCTAGGCGAGCCGCCGCGACTGGCCCTTTATAGCCGCGGAGCGGGCCGGGGTGAGCCCGGGACACACGTCCCCAGCACAGGCCCCCGCCCACTCACGCGGCCGGCACCTGGAGCCCGGAACGGGGCTGGACGGCCACCGAGAGGCGGGTCTCCAGCCCCTCTTCCCCCTTCCCGTCCCGTCCTGTCCTGCCCCGTGGTCTTCACTCCTGAAACACCTTCTGCTCTCGTGGCTGAGTTATTTTTTCTAGACCAAAACAAAATAGGAAATTCCCCGGGAGAATAGTTAAATATTTTCATGTCCTTTAACAACACCACCCCCCCCCCACACTGCCCCACGTTGACTGTGTCGCATGAATTTTATAACCAAGACAGTTTTGGGCGGTTGCATGAATACTCCCGGTGTCGGAAGCCGCCGCAAGAACAAGAACTTTCGTACAGCCAACAACGAATCAGAAAGGCGTTTGTGTTTCCGCAAGCTTTTCACCAACAAAACTGTCTTTGATGAGATATGACTAGGAGAACATCATTAAGCTGAACTCCACTCTCCTGTTTAATGACAGTGATAAAGCAAGACACCGCTCTTCTGGCCAAGCTCCCAAGTATAACGTCCTTCTGCCCTTTCAGTTGAGTGGTTCCTTTTTAAGAATACAGAATTGGGGACCTAGTGACATGATGGCCCACTAGGTAGCAGGTTCTTGCCAACAAGGCAGATAACCCACATGATGGAAGGAGAGAGTCAACTCTGGCCTGTTGTCTTCTGACCACCCCTGACACATGTACACAGATACACAGGCATACATACAGTAATTTTAGTAAGAAGAATGCAGAGTTGGACACCAGGAGAAATAGATCCTACTATTCAGGAAGTTCCAAGTTACTTTGTACCTCAAAACTGGACAGGTTGGAATATAACTTCCTCAGTTGAAATCTGGAAACGTAAAATCGTATCTATGAAAAGCCGGGCGGTGGTGGCGCATGCCTAAATTTAATCCCAGCAATCAGGAGGCAGAGGCAGACAGATCTCTGTGAGTTCAAGGCCAGCCTGGGGTACAGAGTGAGTTCCAGGAAAGGCTCAAAGTTACATAGAGAAACCCTGTCTCGAAAAACTAAAAAAAAAAGAAAAGAAAAAGGAACAGTATTGATCATCCTTGGGCTGTCAACATTTAAAGGGGGATTTGTGACATATTTAAGAAACAATTGAAAGATACATAAAGGACCTCAATGTGAGTGGGTAGAGGTCTTGGATAAAGGCATGAAACAGTGAAACATAACGCATAGCAGGGGAGGGGGAGTGGTGCTTGAAACCCAGAAAGAAAATACCTAGCAGACACACAAATCTGTAACCTGAACACGGGTTTTTTTCCATTCGTAAATCTAAATTTCCATCACTTCAAACTGAAATTTCCGCTTAGCTTGCTATGAGACCTGAACCAACTAGCCTTTCTGTAGCATAAACATTTACCTATTGGTGTAAAACCATACCACTGATTAGGAGGAGGGAAAGGGGAAGGGGATGAGGAGAGAAATTTAGTCAGGGCTTTACTGAATAAACACTGCCTAAAATGAATTTTTAACACTCTTAAACAGGAAGGTAGTACCTGTACATTCCCATGATGACCTGCTCCCTATTTTCAAACTGGGAAGTTTCTCAAACTGAAGTGGATGTGAATCACCTACATATCTTGGTGAGAATGTGCCTCCTGAATTTGGGGTCCATTTACCAGAATACATGTTTAACAACTTCCAGGGACACTATTGCTGCAGGTTTGACGTCATTTGAACAGCTAAGTTCTGCACTGTCAGTCAAATAATGCCATTAACAACTTAGAGTGAAATGTAAACTTGGCTTTCCTTAAAACATTTATGCAGTCTGGCTTTACTACCATTATTATCCGGTTTCCTTGTACTGTAGTGGCATGGACTTTCCCAGAATTGGCAGAACTCTGTGACCACTGAGGGTGCTGTTTTGTCAGTTGGGAATTCTCTTCCTTGGGTTCTCTGTGACCACTTTTTTTTCCCAGCCATCATTCAGGTTTCATGCCAAATGCTAGCTCATCTCAGAATCCCATAATTCTTTCTGAGTAGACTATTTCAGCCCTTCTCTTCTGTGCAACAGTGGACACAACGTGCGTTCTGCATTAATCTTTAAAAGATAAGCTCCCCGAGAGCAGAAACCTAGTCTACCTCAAGTTCCATATGCCAGCGCCTTGCCCACATAGTGTAGCTGAGAAAGTCCCACCGTCCAGTTACCATTGCTAGATGGTTAGAGCTAGAGCACCAGAATCAATGCTGATCAAATGCGCGTCTTTCACTTCTGGTATTCAAGGAATGCTACTCGGTACTGACATTTAGGTTGTACTGCAATAAGAGGCAGCCAGAGAGGAATAGCAGTCCAGGCCAGGAGTTTCTGAAATGGAGAATTGAGCTGCTCAGGTCGGAAAAGTAAGGGGGAAAGGGAAGGAGTGAAAGGAAACGAGTGTGCCTGGTGTCCAGGGAAGCAGGAGAGCACCAGGAAGTGAGCTAGGGCGGGGTACGTGTTTTATCTTGTAGAGCCTGTAATTAGAGGGATTTGAGCAGAAAACTAGGCAGCGATAATATCTAGAGAAGATAATGGCTTGGCCTCAGAGCAAGACAATGATGGGATGAAGGTGGAATTTATGATGAATGCCCACAGTGCACAGAAGTAATTTAGAGTTTGTCTTGGTGGTACTGTAGTATCCCAGGGGTACTGTAGTGTCTCCGGGGTACACAAACTTTAAGGTTTAGATAAACAGGAATCGCTTCACCTTACTCCCCCACCAGAGCCTTGACCTCTCCTGCCACTGGTGTTGCCCTTGCTTGTATTACCAGATGAGTTCCTTCCTATAAAGTAAGCCTCAAGACCGATAGGAAATGTGGTGTTGTTTGTACCCATTCGTCCTGTCCTTATGCCACCAGTGTGCACAGCTTGATTCGCTAGTAGCATGGCATGCAAGGTATAAACTAAGAAGAATACTAATGACAGCTTTTCCCAGTACCTGTGCTGTGCCTTCTATAAACAGGCAGGGCCCCTGGGGGTGGAGGGGGGTGGGGGTGGGGCGGCATACCTTCCAGCTTAGCCCAGTTTGATTTCTCCATGTCCTACAAGCATGCCTTACCTTCAGCAAAAAGAACTTCCTGTGGACAGGTGGTGGTGCACACTTTTAATCTCAGCACTCAGAAGGCAGAGACAAATGAGTCTCTGTGAGTTCCAGGCCAGCCAGGGCTGTTATGCAGAGAAACCCCGTCTCCAAAAAACCAACCCCCCCCCCCCCAAGAGGCGGGTGGGGGAAGAGCTAACTAGATCCAACATGCAGCCAACAGCAGTGGCAATGACCCTTTTGATTTGCCAATCCTGAGATGTCTCTTTAGCCAACAGCTCATTGGGAGGTAGCCAATCTCTGGCACTTTGATTTATTTAATTTATTCAATAACTCTGTGGCTGGGAGATTCTTTTCCACCTTGACAAGTTGCCCTCATCTGAGCTCCTCGCCTGCTTTTATTATCCTCCCAGATGCTTCTCCAAGTCTGTAAGGCATCCAAAGGCTAGCAATATATAATGAAATGTTGTCACAAAGGGTGAACTTTATCTCTGAAGGCCCACTACCATCCATTTCGAGAAATTGCAAATTAGCCCTGGGACTTAACATGTAAGGGAATATTCAGATAAGACATGAGGAATATGAAATACAGCAATGAAAAGTTCTCATCACTTGTATCAATTGATTCCTATCGGGGGAGGATGCTATGTTTAATGCAGGAGCATGCAAAAAACAAAAAACAAACAAACAAAAAAACAAAAACCAAAAGTCTCCCTTATTTAATACTGTCATGATCCATGAACTGCCCTGCTTTCTCATCCTAGGGCACTGCCTTAGTGGTATTGTATACCCCCTTACTCCAGAAAGCCAGAAAGGGCAGGTCTTCATTCTGTGGACCTGCCTGGAGGGAATCAGGGATCAGGGCTGTGTTCTTACCTGCTAGACCTGCAGTTCAAGCCAGATTCCTAGATCTGACAGAACCATGGCCCTTACTTCTTCATCAGCCACACTTGGCTGCTGAAAAAGCTTCAGGTGTGGGTGAAAAGTCTCTACCTCCAAAAAACTTTCTTGCAGGATAAAAATGAATACAGCATATTCTTGGGAAATGTTTGTCCAACATAGGACAAATATATTTTCTTGTGCATTCTTTTCTTATTTACTTTGTCCATGAACTATAGTTCTCACTTTAAAAAATTCCAGGTATATTTTTAGACTCCTGCTAGGTTTTCCTCCTCAGTACTCCAGCTAGATAGCAGTCTTGCTATATCTGCCATTGGGTGTCCTGAGTAGATCGGGGTTTTCCCCCTCAGTACTCCAGCTAGATAGCAGTCTTGCTATATCTGCCATTGGGTGTCCTGAGTAGATCCTCTGTCTGCTTTCTCCTTCTTTTGTTTCTTTGAGATTATTTTAGCACATTAAAAACCTGATTTACTCGCTAGTCTAAATTATTCTTATCTGTCACAACTTCTCCTGCCCCTTAAAGATCATGTTCTGTCATGGGGGGTTCAGCAAAACCACTAAAGCTCCATCTCAGTCCTACAATCCCTGCTCAATTAGCTTCTTAACTGTGCTGAAAACAAAGTGCTATCAGGCCTTGTGAAGTAGACATCCCACACCACCCGTCACTTGCCCATTTCTCTGGGCAATCCTGTCCTTCCTCTGTAACCTTCAGTTCTTGGCATTCATGGGACCTCAGCTGTCAACAACCAAGTGTCTGTAACAGCTTCTATGACCCAGTCAATCGGAATGGCTGACTTTGTACTGCCTTATGTTACACGGTCTGCATGTCAAGGAATGCTAGTTCCATTATTCAGATTGCTGTGCTTCCAGGGCACTTATACCAACCATGTATTCCCCTGTGTACCACAGTCTTGTGAGTCACACTGCAAGAAATACTTTCAAGCTTTGCTAAAAAAAAAAGTCTTTCCTGGAGGTGAGGAGATGGATCCCCAGCAGATATACAAAAGCCAGGTGCAGTGGCATGTGCCTGTAACCCCAGCACTAGGTGGGTAGAAAGAAGTGAATTCCTGGGCTCATTTTACAACCTGTCTTGTAGAATGCAAAAGCTCCATTTTCAGTGAGAGCCCCTGTCTCAAAAAACTAAAGGGAAGGACTAGAGAAATGGCTCAGCAGTTAAAAGCACATGCTGTTCTTACAAGGGACCTGAGTTCAGTTCCCAACACCCACCTCTAGATGCTCACAACCACCTATAACTCCAGCTGTAGAGGGAGGCGACACTGCAGGATGCTGCAGGCATCTGCATTTCCATTCACATCATACCCCAAAACACACATACACGTATTTTAAAAGATAACAATAAATCTTTAAAAACAAGATAAAGTAGGCTGGAGAGATGATCTGGGAGTAAGAGTACTTGCTGCTCTTGGTGAGGCCATGGGTTCAGTTCCCAGTAGCTGCGTAGTGACTCACAACCATCCATAAATCTAGTGCCAAGGGATCTGATGCTCTCTTCTGGCATTTGCAGCACCAGGCACACATGTGGTACACATTCATGCATGAAGAAAAAACACCCATACACATAAAATAACTTCTTAATAAGTTTTTTTTTAAAGTGGAAAGGCAATTAAGACACAGTGTCAAACTCTGTCCTTCACATGTACCTATACAAGTAAGCACAACCAGACATATGAACATGTTCATACACCGCACACATGCACACATAGAGAAGTCCTAATTCAAGCAGTTCAGATGTACTGTGTTTTTTGATTGTTACATATTCTTGGCCATTAAGGCGCCCATTTCATGCTGTATTATGAATTTTCCCTTCCACTGTATTAGAAATTTGGTTCAAGGAGTAGTTTCTTTGACTTCTACCTGCTTTCTCCCACCTCCTTATTCTGTTATTCCCATGGGTTGCAAGTTTTTGGATCCCAGGAAGGAGCCTTTATATGCCCTTTTCTCATTGTAGTTCCTTCCTTGTGTGGGCAAGATCCTTCTGTGCAGACATGACCCCACAGCAGTGCCCCACACAACTGCTGTCACAGCCTTGCCCCAAAAGTAGTACCTTCAAAAACTGTATTATCATCTCTAGGCTGCTGGCCATTTAAGGGAGGGGGCATCCATTCGGTCAGATAGCAGACCCCATGTATGAAACAACAATGCTACCCAACATGGTGTAGAGGAATGTGGCCACCTTGGGGTTTCTTCTAAGGACGATCCACTGTCAGACAGCTCTGCTCTGCTTATTGCTGCTCACAGGGAGTGTGCAACTCCCCTTACAGCAATGAGATACATCAGCACAAAACAACATGGGGCAAGGGAGCCAGGCACGGCCCTCAGCAGCAGCTCAGGCCCAAACAACACCATGACCCTGATGGCAGCAGAGGCCACCCAGATTAGCATGGCCCTGGTGGCGGCACACCAACATGGCCACAGGTGGTAGCACAGAATCCAGGCATCCTTGCCGACTTTGGTAGCAACATGCGTCAAGGATATCAACACAGACCCCAGCTGTGGTAGTCCCATGGACCCAGACATGGCCCTTGGCAGCAACCTGGGCCTGCATGTCACCCTGGCTCCAGGTAGCAAACAGGCCATCCATATCAGCCTGTTCCTCACCACTTTCTCTTCTTCTTCAGTCCTACCTCTTTCCACAGCACATGAACCATTCCGCTTCTCTTTCCCATTTCTCCACCATATATTTGCTCTTCATAATAGTACCTACCTACTTGGTGCCACAAGGAGCTGGGTGGGCCTGTGGATGCCTTTAGCCAGCCTGGACTATAAGACAATCTAAAAATTTGAATGAAGCTGAGATCTTATATTCACAGGGTAAATAGAACAAAAGTCAGCAGGACAAAGAAACTTATTTCTGAGGCTATCATAGATTCTTAACCATGGAATTTGGCTAGGGAGGACAGTTAGGAGGTTGTTAGGACTAAATAAGAATTTCAAGAGGATAAGAAAATTTGTTGGTTTAAAAAAAATTTGTGGCCTGACTGCCCAATTTATTATTTCTAATATTTATAACGTTGGCTATTCCTTTTGCCTCTGTGCCTCTTGGCTTTTCAAAATGTGTTCCTTATATGAGAATATTTAGTAACTTAACACATGGATAGGATAGTTTCTAGCACACAGTAGATATTATATGAGGGTTAGCTGTTAGGGGGAGTTAATGAGCATAAAAAAGAAATCTACCAATTTCAGCACTATATCCACAAAGCATGTCCAAATCTCACTGTATTATTACTTATAGTTCTTCTGGTTAGTAGGCACATGCATATGAAAGAAACAAGATGACAATTTTATTTATTGTTAAGTATTTATATATAAATTTAAATTTTGAAGTGTCTATGATGCTTACATTTTGTCCAAGTTTTTAGACAGTGTTTAGGCTTTCTAGATGATCTGTTAAGGTATTCAGAGTATAAAAGAATTTTAAATTAAAACTTCAGCATGATTATCCAGTATCACATGGTATCAACTTTTCAGTGGGATTTATGAGGTGTAATTGTTTATAGCCATATTAAATTCATCAGAGGCAAACTTGCTACACACTCCCTCTGTCATCTGTCAGGCCTCATAGAGAACTAAGAAGGCGGTTACTGCTTAAATACTTAAGTTCCATGTGATGAATGTTCACTATGACATGAGTTTTGCCACCTGAAACCAGAGTGAGGCAAACAACTTTCTCCTAAATTGGCATGGAAGAGTTTTTAAACGACAATGATTTTCAATTCCTTTTGACACAAGTTGAATGAGAACCAGTGACCTAAAGGTGAACAAATTCTCCAAACAGCAGGGGTTCTCCCTTAGAACTGGGCCAATTTTTCTGATTCTAAAATGGCAATTTTTATTTCACTCAGTTACACTCTTCCTTATGCCTTGATATTACCTGTGGTGGGTGTTTTGTGTCTGAAATCTCCAGTACATCTTGATTTTCCTCTTGAAATTTTTGCAAACATTTTAGGCACAAACTAGTGTGAGAATGGATGGATAGTTGAGCTTATCAGTGCGGAGTTATCCTGAGAGGGGAGTGTGTTAATTGTTCAGCCCGAAAGCTGGCAATGAAGTAGTCCTTCATTCAAGACACTGGTGCAGCCAATGCATTCCTGTGTTTGTCTTCAGTATGCCTATGGAAAGAGCACAGGCATAGAAAGCCTGCATACAACAGTCTACTTAAGAGAAATCTGTGTTTGAACCCAGGTATCATTTTTGTACAGCCAGTGGCCTTCAGAACTATTTTATACTGGCTTTTATGGAAAAGGGGGAAAGTGAAGGACAACATAGAGTATTGTTTAATCATTTAAACGAAAAAAAAAATTACTAAGCATAATTTTTAAGCACTGCTTACTAGTAACATTTGGGTGAAACTCTGATCCCTGGGAAATCCATCCACAAGAAACCTGATGGGTATAAAATGGGCTCAGGTCAATAGGGAGAATTTATCATATAACAGTTAAGACACAGAGCTCACAGGTGAAAGCTCAATGTAGGGAAGTTGGTACAAGGTATAAAAAACAAGTCCTGCAACTGCTGACTTCCACTGTGGCTGTTCAAATGACTTCCCTTGTTTGGCTTTTGTTTGTTTTTCCTGTCATAGAACATTGCCTAGTGACAACTTGTGGAGGAAAGGGTTTATTTCATTGTAAAGTTGTAGTCCATCATGAAGGAAAGTTGAAGCCGGGACTCCAGGAAGGAACCGAAAGGCACAAACTGAAGCAGAGACCATGGAGGAATGCTGCTTCCAGGGCTTGCTCTCCAAGGTTTGCTCACTTTGCTTTCTTGTATATCCTAAGGCCAAAGGCTCCAGGATAATACTTCTCCCAGTGGGCTGGGCCCTACTGCTTCAGTAATTAATAACGAAAATGCCCTGTAGGTAATCTTCTAGAGCAGTTGCTCTCCACCTCCCTAATGCTGCAGCTCTTTAATACAGTTCCTCATGTTGTGCTAACCCCCAACCATAAAATGATTGTCCTCACTACTTCATAACTGTCATTTTGCTACTGTTATGAATCTTAGTGCAAATATTTTTGGAGATAGAAGTTTGCCAAAAGGGTCATGACCTACAGGTTGAGAACCACTGTGCTAGATGTATTTTCTCAGCTGAGGTTCCCTCTTCCTAATTACGTCTAGTTTTGTAACAATTTGACAAAAACTAAATGGACATGGATTATTCCCCAAGAGGTCCAAGCATATCCTAATATCCAGAGCCTGTGGAGCTTCCTGCTGTGGATATTGCTCTGTATAAATAAAATGCTGATTGGCCAGTGGCCAGGCAGGAAGTATAGGCGGGACAAGCAGAGAAGAGAATTCTGTGAACAGGAAGGCTGAGTCAGGAGACGCTGCCAGCCACCACCATGAGTACCAACATGTAAGATACTGGTAAGCCACGAGCTATGTGGCAAGGTATAGATTTATAGAAATGGGTTAATTTAAGATAGAAGAACTAGATAACAAGAAGACTGCCACGGCCATACCGTTTGTAAGCAATAGAAGTCTCTGTGTGTTTACTCAGTCGGGGCTGAGCAACTGCGGGACTGGCCAGTGAGAGAGATTTGTCCTGATCACGGGCCAGGCAGGACTGGAGAAAACTCCAGTTACAGCTTCCCTTAATTATTAAAAAGAATGGGAGGGTGTCACCAAGTGGACGATATCTCTGATGCTAATGAGAAGGGGCCTTAGGTGGCCATAGAGAAAAGCACAGAGAAATGCAGCAATGTGACTGAAGCTAGTGATTGCAATTGCAATGATACAGTCACAGGTCAAAAAAATGGAAAAAGTGAAGAGTGACTTCTCCTCTGAAGCCTCAAGAGGAAGAAGAACACTGACAACATTTTGATTTCAAGACTTTGGGCCAGAACTCTGAAAGAGTAGGTTTCTGGTTTTCCAAGCACCTCAGTTATGGCAATTTATTCTGGTAGACTCTAAACTAACACATCTCTTGATGTCAGTTCTTTAAAATGAGTTTCAGATGCTTGTAAGATCATCACCGTGGGAGTATCAACCCAAGACAATTCATTCATTTAGGAGAACCAGAGGTGTCCTGCCTTGGCTATAGCTTATATTTTTTATGCAAGATATTCTTTGTGTTGTTGCATTGGTTACGTACTTAACAAACCCAGGGCTTCATTAAGTGAAGAGTCTCTCACTAGGCAATACTTCAGCAAAGAATTATATTCCATACTCCATCATTTAATGTAAAAAAAAAGAGAGACCTGAGTCAACTTTAAAAAGCAGTGTTTTGACTGGCTACTAAATAAAAACAGAAAGAATTGTAATAAAACTATGATGGAATTGGTAAATTCATTTTTTTCCCTGAGATGTGGCTGGGAACACTTAAGACACTTTGTATCTATATCGTGGTTGAACAAATAAGGGAGTAAATTATAGATGATCAACATCACCTTTCTTTCTTTCTTTTTTTTTTTTTGGTTTTTGAGACAGGGTTTCTCTGTGTAGATTTGGTGCCTGTCCTGGATCTTGCTCTGTAAACTAGGCTGGCCTCGAACTCACAGAGATCCTTCTGGCTCTGCCTCCCGAGTTCTGGGATTAAAGGCGTGTGCCACCACCGCCCAGCTAGCACCAGGTTTCTTTACCAGAGAGAGAAGTTTCAAACAAGCAGTAGGAGGAGGGTGGTAGGGGCAATATATGCTGAATTAAACAGAAGTAGCCATATACACTGGTGAGATGCAAATGCATACACATGGAAAGTATATATTGAAAATAGCTGCATATGTGTCTGTATGCAAACCTCAGTTTGCAAGCGCCTATATTCTTGATCTCAGTCTCCCATACAGTAGAAAAGCATGGAAACTTCCATTAACAAGTGCGATGTTTTGAAGGAGAATGCTCTCCTTGATCTCATTTTTGAATACTTAGTCCCCAGTTGATGGAGCCATTTGGGAAAAAATAGGAGATGTGCCCTTGTTGGGGGAGTTGTGTCACTGAGACTGGGCTTTCAAGTTTCAGATGCACATACTATTTCAAGTGAGTGCTCACTTAGATGCCTGCCCTCCCACATACACACACACTCTCACTCTCTTTCTCTATCTCATGCCTGTGGATCAGATGTAAGTTCTCAGCTACTGTTAAAGCACCATGCCCACCTGTCCTCTGACATGTTCCCAACCATAATGGTCATGTATGGTGGTAATGTGTTCTCCAAAATATTGTGCACACTAATAAAATTATCTGGGGTCAGAGAAGAGAACAGCCACAATATTAAACATAAAGAATAGGCAGTGGTAGCACACGCCTTTAATCCTAGCTTTCCAGAGGCAGAGATCTACCTGGATCTCTGTGTGTTCAAGGATACAGCCAAGCATGGTGACTCATGCCTTTAATCCCAAAAGTGAGCCTTTAATCCCAGGGAGTGATGGCAGAAAGCAGAAAGGTATATAAGGTCTGAAGACCAGAAACTAGAAGCTTTTGGCTGATTAAGCTTTTAGGCTTTTGAGCAGCAGTTCAGCTGAGATCCATTCTGGATTAGGACACAGAGGCTTCCAGTCTGAGGAAACAGGATCAGCTGAGGAATTGGCGAGGTGAGGAAGCTGTGGCTTGTTCTGCTTCTCTGATCTTCCAGTGTTCACCCCAGTACCTAGCTCCAGGTTTGTTTTTATTAATAAGACTCTTTAAGATTCATGCAACCGTCATGGACTCACCATCCGAAACTGTAAGCAAGGACACAATTCAATCCTTCTTTTTTAAGTTGCCTTGGTCATGGTGTCTCTTCACACCAATAGAAAGAGAACTAAGACAATAAGTAAACTCAACTTAGTTTCTAAACACCATTTTCAGTTAAAGAAAATAGTCAATTCTGAGGTACAGGTAAAAAGAGTGAAAGATAAAGTTCGGTTTAGGATTTTTTTAATGGAAAAGATGTTTTCATTTTTTAATTTAAATTTTTGAGAATTTCATACATGAGTACTTGATTTACATCATTCCCAACCCTTGTACCCATCAAACCACTCTCATGCCCTCATTCTTCTCAAATTTGTGGCCTCTTCTTAATTAGTATTGTACACACATGCACATGCACACACACACACACACACACACACATACATATATCCATACATGCATAACTTACATATATATGTATTGTGTAACCTATTGAGTCCATTTGGCATTGTTTGTATGTATATGTATTTAGGGCAGACCACTTGGGATTGAATAACCACCAGGGGCTCATCCATAGAACAAGCCAATTAAACCCCTCTTAGCAGCCATTCATTATCTGTAGTTCTGTACCTCAGGGTGGGGCCCCGTGAGATTTACCCAATCCCCATTGGGATTGTATGTGGGTCTTGTTTAGGCGACCATGGTTTTGAGACTTCTTGGGTACAGCTGCCCTGTCACACATAGAAAACACTATCGCACTACAGACGTCCTGGTCCTCCAGCTCTGACACCCTTTCCATCCACTCTTCTGTGATGTTCTTGAAGCCTTGGGTGCAGGAATTGCACTGAGGATGTATCAGTGAGGGTTGGGCGCCTCACAGTCCATTGGTCTCTGCATTTTGACCAGCTATAGGTTTTCCCATACTGCACAAAAGAAGCTTCCTTGATGAGGGTTAAAAACTACATTTGTCCGTGGGTATAAGGATAAATTTTTAGAATGGAATTAGAATTAAACTAGTTTAAGAAAATGACAGTAGAAGTTCGCCTCTAAGGTCAAAGTTTTTTTTTTTTTTTTTTTTTTTTTCGAGACAGGGTTTCTCTGTGTAGCTTTGCACCTTTTCCTGGAACTCACTTGGTAGCCCAGGCTGGCCTCGAACTCACAGAGATCCGCCTGGCTCTGCCTCCCGAGTGCTGGGATTAAAGGCGTGCGCCACCACCGCCCGGCTAAGGTCAAAGTTTTAAAACAGATGTGTATGTGTGTGTTTCTTCATGAATGTATGAGAACATGTATCCAGGTGCCCACAGAGTCTAAAAGATAGCCTCAGATTCTCTGGTGCTGGAGTTATAGGCAGATGTGAGCTGCGGGACATGGATGCTGGGAAGCTAACTTGAGTCCTCTGCAAGTTATATGCGATCTTAAATGCTAAGCCATTTCTACAGCCTTTAATTCTTTAAACAAGTATATTGGGTCATGCCAAAAGATATTTGCTAATGCAGAAGAGTCCCCTAGGATGAAAGCAACCAACTAGGTAATACTAATAAAGTAACTATATAAGTACATCCTTATTGTAGCACGAATTGTTAGAAGGTCTTATTAATAAAAACAAACCCGGAGCCAGGTATTGGGGTGAACGCTGAAAGATCAGAGGAACAGAGCCAGCCACAGCTAACCACACCTCGCCAACATCTCAGCTGATCTTGTTTTCTCAGACTGAAAGCCTCTGTGTCCTCGTCCAAATGGATCTCAGCTGAACTGCTGCTCAAAAGCCTAAAAGCTTAACAGACTCTAGTTCCTGTTCTTCACGCCTTATATACCTCTCTGCTTCCTGCCATCACTTCCTGGGATTGAAGGCATGTGTCACCATGCCTGCCTGTTTCCAGTGTGGCTTTGAACTCACAGAGATCCAGATGGATCTCTGCCTTCAGAATGCTAGGATTAAAGGTGTGTGCTACCATTTTCTGGCCTCTATATCTAGTGGCTGTTCTGTTCTCTAACCCCAGATAAGTTTATTAGGGTGCACAATATATTGGGGAACACAATATCACCATACCTTATAGAAATGATTGGTTAAATAAAACAGAAGATAAAGGGAAGGGTTTTGCTTTCTTATAATTTTCCAAATAATTTATAGTTTCCTTTCTCCAGGAAGTGATGCTTAATCTCTTCTGCTTAAATGTGGAATAGACTTAGTTACATACTTTCAAATAATAGAACACAGAAAGAGAGACAGTGGAGAAATCTCCCAAACTATACATTAGTCACACATTCAAAGTTATAACAGCATCATACTTCATCACACTTCATCATATGAAGTGGTAAGAAATGCATTCTGCCTTTGAGATACTTTTTCCTAAATCCCTTCTGTGTTTCTAATCATGTGATAATATGCAGGACTAAATTGAGGGAGATTCTATGAAATTCCTGTCCATTATACATAAAACTCATCAAGATTCTGTATGGAAAGCAAAGAGAGACTGAGAAGATGCCACTGATGGAAGACTGGGCACAGAGGAAGGCTATAAAAGAGCGTCCTGGAATGCATCCCAGATAACAGAAGAATGTTAGTGGTAAAATATGAATAAAGCCTGTAACTTAGTGCTATTATATAAATGTTAAGTTCCTTATTTTGTTAAATAGGGATGTAGCAAATGCTAGCATTGGAAGTTGGACAAAGGGCATATAAGAACTCTGTACTGTTTAGAAAACTTTTCTTTAAAAATTATTGCAAAATGCATTTTAATTTATATTATCACCTCTGTTAAAATCTGAATGTTTACTTATTTTGTAGAAAAAAATATAATCTTGCATTACAAATGTTGTATTTGTCTATCTTTTATTCTTCCTTGAAGAAAAAAAATTACAGCACTTGCTATCCATTTTGCCACAATCATATTCAGACCTTACTCAACCTTTAGTTAATGTTTAAATGAAAACTATAATAATATTTTAATGCCGTAGTTAATCAAAACTTCCTGTCTCTTCTGTGGAATTAAGTGTAATGGATTTTCTGAGCTTCTATTAACTCTTCGAGTTTATAAGGCTGCCACCTAGTTATCTGGTGGCAGAGTGTTCAGAGAAATTTAAAGGAACTGCTACAAGTACCTAATTAATCCTTACAATGTTGAGATAATCTGATTCATTAAAAGAACAATGTGTGCCTGGCACTGAACTAGAAATTTTTAATTACCATTTTGTACTTTGCCGATAACTTGATCTTCAGTGGGGGAAAAAACAGAAGAAAGAAAAGTGACTCTTCTAGGTTACATACTAAAAACGTTAAAACACAGACTTGAATGAAACAGAGTAACAGATAAATGTAAGAATTAATTTTTGACATTTTGAGATCATATTTCCCAGATTATTGATTCTAAAAAGAATTTCAATAAGAGCTCCTCGTTTTATCTGTATAACACTTATGTTTTACTAGCAAATACAAATTTCTTGAGACAGTAAATTGTTTAAGCCAAAGAGCAGGTTAAAACTGATTTTTTAAATAAGAATTAAGTTTTCTGCTGTTACCCTCCACATATTTTCCTTCTAGCCAGAAGTTGCATATTTTCAAAGATTTGTATTAGGACATGTTAACCATTGAATAGTTTACTATTTAAGGAGTGTGTATGGAAACCTAGGATGCCGCACCTCATGTTGAACGTTAAAGTTTTTTTTTTTCTTTCTGCAGAGTTACTACTTTTACATAAAGTTAATATTGTGGGTGTAAGCTTACCTATATCAAAACTTCTTTTGAAAACTTTTCAGAGATAAGCAGACTTGCAGGTATTTCTGCATACTTCTATTCACGAATACCTGGTAAATTAACTCTCATTTGCAAAGCTAGCATTTCCCAGGGCTAAAAAAATTGAATTATTTCACAAGGTTTATCATTCACCCAACTCAATATTCTATTAGTTACATTGTGCTTTTGATCTAAAATAAAAAAAGTTGTTTGACAGAGACAGCTCGAAAGTTCTCCTTAGTGGGATGAGGTAGAAAAAGATCTAAGAATAGTTCTAATATAAAAGGATTCTGGAGGATGGATGTGAGGTACATATTTCTGTGGAGTTATCAGTACTTATTAAATGACAGACATTCTTGCAGTGTTCAGGTTTGTATTTTTCCTTACTTTTCCTATTGCACATAATTGGGGATAAATTTTTTCACTCATTAAAATAAATACTTGTCCAGAGTAGGAGGATGTATTTTAATTATGTAACTTAAAAATATATACACGTATATGTGGGTATATGTATGTGTGTGTCAGTACTAAGAAGTTGATTCAATATTCAACCTGAGAATTTTGTTTTATTTTTGTTTTGAAATAGGGTCTCTATAGCTGAGGCTGGCACGACACCAAGCTCATAGGTGGATTTTCTATAAAATTGTGTTTAGTTTCTTAATTTTCCTAAGGGCTCTGTTGATTACTAAGAGCAGCTAAGAATTAGTTCCCAAGGGATATAAAAGGACAGTGGAAGGATTTAATCTCAAGCATTAAGCAACCAGAACTGGGCATCAGGCAAAGATGGTTATTCCAAGTCCCTGGAAAGGAAATGAGGGAAGACATGTCAACATTCAGGGAAGAGGATCTGGAAAATGCTTCAGGAGATCAAAGCTTGAACATAGAACAGGCAGCCTAGACTTCATAACACAATACCACAAAGAATAGAACTACCCAGAGAAAGACTCTTGGAGTTATACCAAAATTCCCTACTGAGTTTTCAATGTAATACTGTTCAATGTGTGCATTTAAAAAAACTGCTACTAGTGTTGAAATAACCATCCTAAAGAATTAAAGTGAACAGTGTTTAATATTCATACAGAGTCAGAAAAAGTACCTGTTCTTTATGGCTAGATAAGAAAATTCATCGTTTATATACTGCATGACATCTTTCTCAGAAAATCCTTTTTCTGCACCCAGGAGTAGTTAGGCTTAGAATACTTATTTTTCTGCAACTACCTAAGAAGTTACAACTTTAAGACCCCAAACTAACTTTCTTTGTGTAACTTACATGCATACAAGTACAAAAGTTAGAAATATTTATGAAAATAGGGAAATAGTCACTCAACCAGGAAAATCCACGAGGTCTGGTACTCAATCATGTCATGAAGCAAGAACACACAATTGAGGAGACTATCAATCAAAACTGACTTAAAACTGACATAGGTGTAAGAATTAGCAGAATTAAAGACATTACGGCAGTTAGGATGCTTGAATTCCATATGTCTCAAAAGTTAGGGAAATTTTAAAGAAAAGAAATACATCGTATCCATAGAGATGAAAGCTACAATATCTGAAATGAAAATTTAGGGTGTGGAAAAAAAAGCGACAAAAATATCTAAAATTTAAAAACATGAAAAATAAACCTAAAGCATGATGAATAAATAAGCAAATTACTAAATGTAACTTCATAAATATTTTTGTTATTTGAATTCTTAAAAGAAGAAAATGGTAAGAATGCCTAGGAGCAATTTCTGTACTTTATATGTTACATATATAATATATATATAACATTATATATACATCTATATGTATAATGAGAGGAGCTATGCAAGGATATATCTACTATGCTTGATAGATTTCTGTAAACCTAACACAAACTAAAATCATTAGGGAAGAAGAAACTTCAGTCATAAAAATACCCAGCCAAAATGCAGGAGAGCTCACCCTGGTGGTTAGGACAAGGGAGTGCTGGTGGGCTGACCAATCCTGCAACTACCCAGGCCCAGAACCAGGGTTGGCCCACCCCAATATCCATCCCATCTGTGATCTGCTTGAGCATGTGAAGAGATAGGTCCTGCAGACCCAAAGCTGAAGGATTTCCACAACACAGGCAATAGCAGGATAGCCAATAGGAGTTCCAGTGAGGGCCCAGCATCGATAGTGTGGCAGAAACCAGAGGCCTCGAACCAGACTAATGACTCTTTGCAATGAGCACTTAAAAGTAGATAAATGGACAAAATGGTTTACTGCATGACTCACTATTTCACACTACTGTAGCTGAAAGTTTTTCTGTGTCTCTCCCAGTCTGCAGCTGCTCAGACCCAAGTAAACACACAGAGGCTTATATTAATTAAAACTGCTTGGCAGTTAGCTCAGGATAACTACTGAGTAACTCTTACAGTTAAACTCAGCCCATTTTTGTTAATTTATATGTCACCACGTGTTCTGTAGCTTTACCTATGTACCATTACATACTGCTCCTTGGATGGCAGCGGGCTAGTGTCTTCCCTGAGTCAGCCTTCCTCTTCCCAGAATTCTTCTCTCTGCTTGTCCCACCTATACTTTCTGCCTGGCTACTGGCCAATCACTGTTTTATTAAACCAGTGTATAAAAAAGCATTATTCCACAGCACACTCCTGCTTTCATGATGTGATCCCCCTTCTTTTTTTCTTTTCTTTTTTATCTTAAATTTTATTTGGGGGTTATAGCAAGGGCAGAGAGTGGATACACAGGGATGGGAAATGAATGGGACTGAGATGCATGATGTGTAAGATACAAAGAATTAATAAAAAGTTTTAAAAAATAAGATGGAAGAAAGGTAAAACCTACACCTGAGTAACAAAAATATGGAGCCTCTAAAACTTCCAATTCCAGTAACACCTTTGGCTCTTATTACTATAGTTGAAAGGCGGGTGGGAGAAGCAAAGCAAATCACTCTTAAGATCTTCAGATCAATTTTTCTGATCCAGGACAGTTACAGAATAAAATTTCAGTAAATCCTATCAGGAATTATGTGCAACAAAGCCTACTTTTGACTTATGAATCATATGTTGCATATGCTAGCTTTTTATATTTCAGTAATAAAATATTTTTATACAAAAAAAAATACTCAACCAAACTGGCCTATGGTCAAGCCTGTTGGATATTTCTTGATTGATGATTGATAAAAGAGGGCCCAGTTCATTGTGGATGGTGCCACTATGGGGCTGCTTGTCCTGGGTTCTATAAAAAAGGAAGCTAAGCAAACCACTAGGAACAAGCCAGCAAGTAGCACCCTTCCATGGCCTCTGCATCAAATCCTGGCTCTGAGTTCCTGCTTTGATTTTCCTCCCTGAATTCTCTGGACTACAAACTATAGGATAAAATAAACCCTTTCGTCCTCAAGTTGCTTTAGGTCATGATATTTTATGATAACAGTAGAAACACTAACACTCCTACCATGTGAAAAGAACTCTCAAAATATAGTAGTTCTTAGCTTACTCTACTATTATAGCACAGAGTATTAAAGAATCGTGAAATAGACAAATTTGGTTGCAGTGTTAAATTCAGATGGTATACTTGGGCTACAATAGCAAGATACCTGACATAAATAAAAGGAGGAAATATTTCGAATGACAGTTTGATATTTTATTTTATATTTTTATGGTTAGTATTAACTGTCAACAAGTATCACCTAAAAGGCACAGCTCTACATGCATCTGTGAGGTCATATCAAAGAAATTTACATTTATGGTGAAAGGGCTACAACCCCAGTATGTTGTGCAGAGTAACCAGGTGGTCTTCTATTGAACTTTATTCCAAGCCCCTGAAATCTGTATCTTATCAGAGACCACTTCCTCTGTCTCCTTCTGCTTCCTGGCTGACATGAGAAGAAAACCTATGCTCTGCCAAGGGCCCCCTGATGTGATCTTCAGTCCTGCTTTAGGTCTACAACAAAATACATCATAAAAACTGTTGTGTGATATTTTGGTCACATTCTGACAATAAAATTTGCTTTGAATCAGAGGGCAGAGGTAGCTACTAGCTGACTAAAACTAACCATAGAGGTTTCGGAGGATTGAGGATAGATAGAAAGACAAGAAGTGGTAGGGCCAGGCTTAGAGAGGCTCTCAGCACTTTTGGATGGAGGAATGATATCAACAAAGTGTTTGCATTAGATATTTGTCATAACAATAAAGTGACTAGTTAACAATTTTATCTCTCAGTTGCTCTTAAGTTCATTCACACTTCTCCAACTCTAATGCCAGTTATCCAGTTCTGATTTCTGCCACTGTGGCTTTATTTACAATACTGCAGTAGCCTTCTGTTGGTTCCATCATTCATCCAATCTATACCATCTTGAGTCCATATTTACTCCCTAGTGATGTCAAAAATAGAGAAACAAAATCAATACAATCATTTCTTGAGACACTTTAAGCTTCCCACTTTTCTTAGAATAAAGTCCAAATTTTTCAAATGGCTTAGAAATAAATGACATTCCTAAGTATGAATGATTCTATATTTTCAAAATCCTTTGCCAGCTTCTCACTCTTTTTAATTCAGTTTTTTAGTAGAATATTAGTTGTCTGACTCCTGGTGATTCAAGGAGACTCAATTTTCCTTCAGCTATGTTTAAAATTATTCCACATTAATATATACACTTCTCTTAAAATGCTAATTTTAAAAAGTTCTCTTTGGCACCTGCCAAACACTAGAGTAGGTCACATGATACCCTACAATTGCCTTTTTATGATACTTGTTATACATGTGATTGTTTATTTTATGTCTGTTTCCTCTGATACATTATAAATGCTACAAAGGCTGAAATCAACTCAGTTTTGCTGTTGTACTCCTAATATCTAGCCAAACTCAGGTCTTCAATGAATGTAGAAGGAAAGAGACGCAAGGGAGGAAAGCAAGAAGAGAAAATGAAGGGAAGGAAAGAAGGATGGAAAGACAGAAGGGGAAACAGGGAGGACAGGAAGAAGGAAGGAAAGAATAACTCCCTAGCATCTGCTACACGCCTATTAGAAATTTTCTCCCGAGGTTAAGCAATTTTCCCCCTAGACCCAGGTTTATTCTTGATTTTAAAGTCTTAGAGTTCTAACAATATACTGAGAATATATAGATAATCAATCATCAAAATATCCTCTCTTTCGTAATTCTCATTTTTTTTCACAACTGCCTCTTTTCCACCTATAATCTCTTAGAATCCTTCATAAAACAATAGAAGTGTTAATTCCTCTTTAAAAACTAGTGGTGAATGCAGATCATTTATTTCATGAGGAAGAGTCCCACCTCTCATTCTTTGACCACCTGGGTGGATTATGGTACTGACTTGTTAATTACTAAACTGTTTTCCCTTAGGAGATGAGAGAGAATGCACAGTACTAAAAGGACTGTGAGCTTAAACCAGAATAATTGGGTATCTGCTTACCTTCACATTTTGGAAAACTAAGTAAAATGGTATTAAGAAAGATGGATGTCACTGGGGACTAACCTCTTCTCTCTCACATTTTTAAAAGAAGTCATCAAATGTCTTTAAAATTGTTATGAACTTTTAGAATAGTTCATTTAGTCTGGAATAATGTAGCAATACTAGGAAATGAAAATCATGTGCCAGCTTTCAGATATGTGTGATTGACTGTCCCTGACTAACTGAAGGCAGAATAAATGAAATTAACTCCACAGTAGTGAGAGGTGCCAAATTCTTTGACATAGACTGGAAAGAACCCAAAAACAAGCCAGAAGCTGCATCCCAAAATCAAGCAGAGTCAGCAAAATTACTTCTGCAGAGATTTATTTCCACTGAAAAGGAAGATAGAAAGGGAGTTAATACAATGCTCTGGACAAGAAGTAGAAGGAGGTGCTGGAGAGAAAGCCCAATGGTTAAGAG